CCCGGAGTCGGGCGCGCGCGGCGCGGCGGCGCCCGGGCCCATGTTGGGGGGCGGCGGCGACGGCGACGGTCTGAATAATGTGCACCACCACCCCTTGCACCCCCATAATGAACTGAACATGGCCCACAGCGCGAGCGTCGCCGCTAGTAATGCTAAGAGCGGAAGCTCCGAGGTGGCTCTCAAGGAGGGTGCAGGCGCTGCCGCGCTGTCCTCCTCCTCCTCGTCGGCGGCGGCGTCCTCCTCTTCCTCCGCCTCGGCCCCGGGCTCGGCCATGGAGACGGGGCTGCTCCCCAACCACAAACTGAAAGCCGTTGGCGAGGCCCCCGCTGCACCGCCCCACCAGCAGCAGCACCACCACCACCATGCCCACCACCACCACCACCATGCCCACCACCACCATGCCCACCACCTCCACCACCAGCACGCACTCCAGCAGCAGCTAAACCAGTTCCAGCAGCAGCAGCAGCAGCAGCAGCAACAACATCCCAGTTCCAACAACAACAGCCTCGGCGGCGGCGGCGGCAGCCACCACGGCGCGGGCGGCGGCGGCGCGGTTCAGCCCGCTCCCGACATGGAGCAGCCGCAACATGGAGGCGGCGGCGGCAGCGGCAAGGACAGTGTCGCGGGCAGCCAGGCCGAGCCCCCGGGCCAGCCGCTGCTGAGCAAGCCGGCCGACGAGGACGACGTGCCGCCCAAGATGGGGGAGCCGGCGGGCGGCCGCTACGAACACCCGGGCCTGGGTGCCCTGGGCGCGCCGCCGCCGAGCGCTGTGGCCGGGGGCGCCGTGGCTGGGGGCGCCAGCGGCGGCCCGGCGGCCGTCCCGGAGTTTAATAATTACTATGGCAGCGCTGCCCCTGCCAGCAGCGGCCCCGGCGGCCGAGCTGGGCCTTGCTTTGATCAACATGGCGGACAACAAAGCCCCGGGATGGGGATGATGCACTCTGCCTCAGCTGCCGCCGGAGCCCCCAACAGCATGGAGCCCCTGCAGAACTCCCACGAAGGGTACCCCAACAGCCAGTACAACCATTATCCGGGCTACAGCCGGCCCAGCGCGGGAGGCGGCGGCGGCGGCGGCGGAGGAGGAGGAGGCAGTGGAGGAGGAGGAGGAGGAGGAGGAGCAGGAGCGGGAGCTGTGGCGGCGGCGGCCGCGGCGGCGGCGGCAGCAGCAGCAGCAGGAGGCGGCGGCGGCGGCGGCTATGGGGGCTCGTCCACGGGCTACGGGGCGCTGAGCTCCCCTCGGCAGCAGGGCGGCGGCATGATGATGGGCCCCGGAGGCGGCGGGGCCGCGAGCCTCAGCAAGGCGGCCGCCGGAGCGGCGGCGGGGGGCTTCCAGCGCTTCGCCGGGCAGAACCAGCACCCGTCGGGGGCTACCCCGACCCTCAACCAGCTGCTCACCTCGCCCAGCCCCATGATGCGGAGCTACGGCGGCAGCTACCCCGACTACAGCAGCCCTAGCGCGCCGCCGCCGCCGTCGCAGCCCCAGTCCCAGGCGGGGGCGGCGGCGGCGGGAGGCCAGCAGGCGGCCGCGGGCATGGGCTTGGGCAAGGACATGGGCGCCCAGTATGCCGCCGCCAGCCCGGCCTGGGCGGCCGCGCAACAAAGAAGCCACCCGGCGATGAGCCCCGGCCACCCCGGCCAGCCCATGGGCCGACCCCAGGTAACGCGCCGGCCGGGCCTGCTTCCGCCCGGCGGCCTCGCGCGCCCGCGGCCCGAGTTTCTTTCTTTCGGGTTTACTTTTCTTCCGTCTTCTTTCGGAGGGGAGGCGGGGGCGAGATTCCGGAGCCATTTCGCTCGCCGCCGCCTAGCCGGGGAGGCCGGGGCGCACACAATGTCCGCCTGGCGGGCCGGCGCTCGGCGGGGACGCGCGGGCGGGCGGCACCCTCGAGGCGGGCACCCCGCCCCAGCTCCCGGGCCCGCGGCGGCCCGCGGGGACGCAGCTTGGGGGCGGCAGGACCGGCTTGGCGGCTTTTGTGAGGAAAGCGTGTCCCCGCCAGCTCGGTCAGGGGGGAATGGTGCCGGGAGCCCCTGTTAGCGTCAGCACTGCGCGGCGACTGGGAGGACTGCGAGAACTTTCGCCACCTCGGAGCCCAGCGCGTGGAGCGGCGGGCGTCCTGACCAGCCGTGGGTGCTGCCCCCAGTTTGGGGGAGCCGTCTCTAAGTCGGGCGTTCGGGGATCAGGGTCGGCACGGCTTCGGGTCTGAGGGGGCGGGGAGCGAAAATTCTAGCAAAATGTGCAACGACGTGGAGGCGAAATATTCGCCAAAGAGCTGGGTTCCTCCCTAGGAATGGCCGTGAGCTCTAATCTCCGGTTTCTGGGCAGCCCGCAAAGAGTCACCTTCAGAGAGGAGAGGCTGTGTTCCAGATCCACGTTCCGAATAAATGGAACTTGTTTGGGTCGTGGGTCGCGTCTGCCTTTGATTAGGCAAACCCAGGAAGGTGCCAGACCAGTGGCAGCGGAGCTAGGGGGGGTCGTGTGTATTTGGGTTTTGTTTTGCGATGTCACCCGGGCCCTCCAGCGTTCCTGGGAAGCGTCTTGCCCGTTCGCTGCTTCTCGCGGGTAGGCTGAGCCTCAAGACTGACTTGATCTCCTTTGCGAGGTTTGGAATTTGAATTGTGGAGGTAAACTGGCTGTAATAGTCTCCAGACAGCTGCCTCTTAGTTGACATCTAATCTGCCATCTGATTGGCTCCCCTCTCACCATTGGGCATTTAGCACTGGTGATGTAAATAGAAGTGTTCAGCAGCACAGTTACAAAAATCCTTGCCACAAATAATAACTGAGCTCGATTGCAAGCAGATGTAAGGTGGAATGTGATTTAAAGCTTCATTTATTATGAATCGCAGTTATTAATAAGAGGATTAAGTCTATAAAAACATTCTGCTGGGGTCGGAGCATTGAATATTTGCAAAATTAAGTTCTTGGATGACAACCTTTCAAAAATGGACATTGCATAGCTCATGGGCTTTAATTGTAGGGTGAGGATATATTAATTGAAACATAATTAAACCAGTATTTTTTTTTTAAACCAATTTTTGGATTCTGAAAGATTTTATTGCATTCAGAAAGCTTTTTATAAAAAGGACGTCTTGGCCTTGCAAATTTCACAATGGGGGGAGGTATAACAAAAACAGTTGAGCTATATTAGAATACGTATTTAATTTAAAATTTCAATATATGGGCCTGTATCATTTGATACTTACTTAGTTTTATGACAAGGTTAAGACTGTATTCCTATTGGTTGGTGTTTTAACATTTCTGACCGTTTAAGATATTTGTGCAGAAAAAATATTGGTTAGAATTGACGTAATTAAAACACATGGAATGAGAAAACTATATAATAAGCAATTTTTCCAGACAACTGTTACTTAAAAGGGAAATAGATATTCCTTTGAAATACTAAAAAAAAAATTATTTGCTTCTGATTTGAAGACTACAAAAGGCCCCAAGAATCTTGCTCTTTTCTTCCTTCTAGATAATCTTGTTCTATTAGTTAATGTGAACTTTATTTGAATTGCTTACACAATAAATTAGGAAAAGCTAGATTATTAGCAAGTTGTGGTGGGTGGTTTCTTCCAAATAAGTTTTCTTTTATAAACACCTTGATGCTGTGAAAGTTTTTAAGATGATCATCTGTTAGAAAATATTTTTATCCAGCCCATTTAGTTTAGGAAGGTGTGTCCCTGCTGGACGGCAAGGACGGTTGGTGGTTCAAGCTCACCAGCCGCTCCTCAGAAACCTTATGCAGGAATCACTGTGAGTCTGAACTGACACGAGGGCACTTCACAACAACAACAACAACAACAACATTTTAATAATAACTATGTTATAGGATCATGAAGACATCTTTAGAAGAGAGATTCGTCATACAGAATGAAGGACTGAATTTAACAAATAATATGAATCCTAAACTGAATGTTGTGTTCACTGTTTGCACATCTTCAGTTAGTGGAGTTTTAATAGTAATGCATTTTCTTATTCATGGTAGACAACTTGCGATTTCAATTTTTAGTGTTGATTTGTACAAGTAAAAACAGCGAGCGAAGCCGCATGTAAATGAACTCACATAATTAATTTTACAAAGATTTGTTTTGTCAACTGCTTTTAAAGGTGCAGCTTAAAAGTGTATGTCTTTGTAAACTAGAAAGGAATGGAAGTTAGAGGCAGATGTAGGCCCATGTTTCTTTGGAGTATTAATTCTTAGTGGAAATCATTTTGAGTGGTTTCTTTTCTGGGTATGAGAGTGAATCCATTATGTTCTCAGTGTGACCCTTGAGGGGAAAAAATGTGTTTTTTTGGAGGGGACAAAATGATGGTCATATGACCTGCATTCACAGATTTCTCCTAGGTACTGTATAAACATGTGGCTTGTGTCTTTTTTATAACTTAAAAAATTTTTTTGAGGAGGAAGGCAAATGTTTTATATTTCTTATGACACTTAATGCTAAGAAACAGTCACTTGTCCACAATATTAAATTACTCCATAATAATCTGTTATACAGCATGCTTAAATCATACAGTTAAATGATGAAGTTTTCTTGTGGCTTTTAATAGATACTTTAGTTTCATTTTTGACTTTAGGAAATGACTTATATGGGGTGGGAAATGTTTTTGTGATTTGGGAACAAAATACATGTTTATATTTTAAAAAGAGAGTCTTTTTTTAAGTGAAATGAGCCATGTTATAATACAGCTTGTTTATGGAATTTTTTTCAGATTAGAATTCAGACAGAATAATTTCAGCAGGAATACTGAGTCTATACTCGCATAAAATTGTGTCTACAGTTGTACTGAATCCAGTCATGCTATTTTAAAACTTTAGTTTCATAGAATGTAATATAATAATAATAATAACCCATTTAAAGCCCATTTAAAAATAAATCATTACAGGAAATGTGATTAACAGGTTTACAAAGCAGCTAGCTACAATCTCATTCCTGATAATCTTAAATATGCATAAGATAATATTATCACATGACTTCCCTCTTCCTTTCCCAATAAAACCTTAGGCTTTGTGATATTTTACATTTTGTAAAGAAAAGTTTGTGGCCTAAATTTATGTTTGTTGAGTCCTGGTGTGGTGCTGCAGGATAAAGCACTGGTCTGCAAGGTTGACTTGAACCTGAACCACAAGGTTGGTGTTTCAAACCTCCCAGCTGCTCCTCGGAACCCCCTAGACAGGGTAGCTCTGAGTTAGATCCAACTCGATGGCACTTAAAAACAACCACAAGGAATAGATGGTTATTCTCTAGTCAGAATTGGTAGATTCGCAACTGCTTTATAGAAAAGGCCTACTGTCTAAAAACAACAACAACAAAAAATAGAACAAAAATAGAATTTTCTGCTTTTTCTAAGTTCTCTGGGTTGAAATGAAGCATGGTTTAAATTTGTTTACATTGGGGATCTTGATTTCTCTCGTGCTGAATTCTGAGCTTTAAAAACATAACTCATCACTCTTTAAGACAGGTTGTTGTTGTTGTGAAGTCCTGTCACGTCGGTTCAGACCCATAGCGACCCTGTATAGGGTTTCCTAGGAGCAGCTGGTGAGCTTGATAATTTATGTCTGTGTTAATATGAATTGATGAGACTATTCCAGAGAACAAAATATTCTTAACCTTCTGTCTGTAGTGAGAAACCTTGACCTTTTTCTATGGATTTGCTTTTTATCAGCATTTAGGAAAGCATTTTTGGCTTCTTATACGTGTTTCTTTCCCTCCAATGTCACGTAGTACCGGAAGGATCCAGAGGTGTGCCGGCGCTTCAGAAGTAAACCAGATCACACTGAACACCTTCCTAATAGACCTTCCTTCTAAAGATCGTGTTCCTTTACTAGAATTGAAGAGCATAAAAATAGCATTACTTCTAGTTTGAGAGCCAATTTTAAAAGTGTAAGACAATGTAGAAGACTCTTAATATAGATTGATCTGACAGTTTTTCTAGACATAGGCACATTTTAGAGAAAACAGGTGTAATAGAATGGGGTTGAGTTTTCAGTTATAGTTCTTAAGATCAGACTTAAGTTCTTTATATTTGGGGGGAGGATGTTATCTGAAAAGATGCTTTGTGATGTCATATTATCGGACCTTAATTATCTCTCTGGGGTACATACCAATTTATGAGAGGCAAACGGAAAAGCTGATGATTTCATCTATTTAACCCTCTTTCCTCTTAGGAGGAACACGGTTCTGGGAGTTAATATTTGTTGGTGTCTGTAAGATTTTGCTACTTATCTTGAAGACTGATTTGGGAATGTGAATTTTAGCTGTATTAGAGTAGGAAACTGTGTTAGTTTTTTGCCAGGTAACCTAAATCTGGAGGCTTTTATCTCTGTGCTAGACTTCGGCACCTCTGAGTTAGTGGAGGAGTGTGCTTTGATCCTGGTGGAAAAGGGACTCATATTTCATGTGTGTCATTTTCATTTTGGGGTATGTATGTATATAGACTTGTGAATTTGAGGTTGATACTTGTTTTTGTTTGTTTGTTTAACCATCATGTTACGTAAAACAACAGATTTATGGAGGCTAAAAATGAATTGTTAATGCTCTAATTGCATTAACCTGGTGTGGAGCTGTGGGGTGAAGCACTCGACTACAAGTTCGGTTTGAACTACACGGTCCGCAGTTCAAACTCACCAGTTGCTCTTTGGAAATCTTATACAGA